TATATATATATAATTTAAGTTGCCTAACAATTAGGCATATCCTTCGACTTCTTCTCCTTTCGAATCATCAAAATCAATGCCTTCGAATTCCTTTTCAAGTTCTTCTAAGATTGTATTGTCTTTAACTTTAGTAATCAACTATTTTCCTTTATGAGGTAAAAAGCTCGTATTTGACCTTTTTATCTTTAGTGCAACATCCACAATATTAAGAGGTTCCTTTCTTTTCTTAGTCCTTTACTTAGTATATATTATTGGTTGTCTAATTCATAAATCCTCAAAAGTAGTATCCAAATTAAGGACATCATCTTCTTCATCCTTAAACATCCTCACATTCCTAACATATTGTCATCATCCATTTGTCCCATAAGTCACTCATTAGATTCATCAATGTCATTGAGTGAAATTGTATAATTTTATCTCTATAATTCACTACAACAAAGAGTGGGAGGTCTTGCTAGAAATGACCGATTTTGTGATGATATTACTCATATGCAATTTAGGTCATGTATAGATGTTTGACTGACAAGTAGGGTTTATTTTGTAAAGAATGATATTTTAAATTTTTCCTATCATATACATATATTTATGCACATAAGATCATATACATATTACTTGATAATTCTAGATTATTTTTATTTTTATTTTTTCGTTGCATAACAACTGAATTATAATAAATGTAATAATTTATCATATTGTTACAATATTGTAAATAAAAGAGAGGTCCATAACTCACTTTCTCAATTCCTATATTACTCAACGCATCAATGAAAACGCATAAGCACAAACTTTATAATGGGTACAAAACAATTTCCTATTTAGCTTTCGATTTCTTTTTCTTTCCCTTGAGTGAATCAATCACGCCATATACATAACTTACGAGCATCCAGCTGAAAATTCTCTTGGCACAATCAAGAAAGTGATTTTCATAAAGGAGTGGGGAATATATAATACAATTCATTCCTCAATTGCCATCTAACTCATCAGCTACCATAATTGAATAAAGTTCAATGCCTTCACCCTGAGTAATTTACCGAAGATTCTCCATTAAAATAGATAATGTTACCAGGCATGATTAAGAGAGGTGGGTGCTGACATTTCTCTTTATTATTTTTTAGGGTTCTAATTAGGAGTGAGAAGAATCTCAATGTAATGGAATCAACCCACTACTTTAATAAAATTTAATTTATAAGGAAAAATGAAAGATAAAAAAAGGTATAAGTACAATCCTAAATGGTTGTTGTTATTAAGATGTGCAAACGTTTTCCAAGGTCATTTACATATGCAGCAACTCGAATAACAACACAACAGTAAGCTCTCCTATTTCTTTTCTCTTGAGAAACAAAAGGAATTTAATTAATTAAGAAGGGGAATGAAATATATGGCGAGAAAGAAAAGCAATGGGACCTATAAAAGAAAATGAAGGTACATAGGGCAACACTATTTTAATTAGAGTTGCACTTTTATATTGTAAATTAATAACAAATCATTATTAATAAGACTTTTTAATTATCTATAGTAAAAATCAACAATTCAACTATATATATTGATTTGTGATTAGATGACATTTATAATATTTTTTCTTACAATTGGGACTTTAAATGTTTATCATGAGTAATAAATATATCACACAATAAAACTTTAAAGTTTATTTAGATACGATCTTATAGAAAAAGGGGTCTCTCCAATAAAAATAAAGAACATTTTAAAGAGAAAAAACTCTCATATAATTAATAAGATAGTATTTAAATTTGTTCCTAATTTAATATGGGTCAAACATATACACCACACTATTTAATTCTCCTTGAGTTTTTATTTTTTCTTTTAAACTCAAGTTCTCTCATATTTGCCAAATCCTTAATGGTACATGGTCGTTTTCACTTTGAGGTTGAAAATTGGGTGGTTTAAAGGAAGCAAAACATTTTGGTATTCTCTTTGTACCAAAATGAGAGGGGTTTTGCATTGGTTAGGCAAAATTCATGGATTTTTCACACCCCTCTTTATTATTTGTGAATAGGACATAAAGCTATACCATCTAACTCTCACACTATGCATGACATGTATTTACATATATCAATGTGTTGGTATTTTAATTAATAAATGATAAAATGGGAAACTTATGAAAGAGAGAGAGGGGGACAATGTTGAAGTGACATTTGCCTAACTGTGTTGTTCTCCTATTGCCATTATTCTTTCCTTTTTGTTTTGAATATTTTTAATCAGTGAGGTGATAAATATTCTTCTTCCTTGTGGAAATGGAACAGGGAATAGTACACAAGATAAATGGGAATACGCCTATCCAATCAATTGACCCTTTGCGTTTGGCTTTTTCTTATTGACTTGGTTGCTCTCAAACAAAGACACCCACTTTCCATTTCCAGCTTATTTCTTTCTTTTGTTTAGATAATAAAATAACCATTTTGTATTCTGTATCAAGTATCCATCACCCTTACCTCATATACCACCAACATATATATCTTTCTAATTTTATTTTGTTTTTGTTTTTGTTTTTGTTTTTTTTATTATATATTTTTAATAGTTATATTATTAATATGAAATATCCATCAATTTTACCAATATTTAATATCTGTTAAAGAAATTGATTGATTACCTCTAGTGAAAATATTTCTTCCTATCACATTTTTTTCATATACAAAATTCAAACAAAAAATCTTACTTAAGAGTTTTTATATTATGTTCTAAAATTAAAAAAAAATCATGTAAATTTTTGCACTTATTTTTGGATTTCATGTAAGTTCTTAAAATTAACTTTTATTTATTTATTATTTTATCCATAATCTAAAAGTTTAAGTGATAATAATAATAATAATAATCAAAGTTTATTTATTTATTTATTTATTATTATTATATTTTTTGAAACCTAAGATGAGAAAAATATTGATTTTATGAATTCAAATAAAATCCTTAAAAAGTTGAGAAGTATTTTATTTTATTTTCAGAGACTAATACAAAAAATTATAATTTCAAGAATTAAATTTACCATTTATTTTTTAAAAACAATTCTTCATATTTTCCTTTTTTATAATTCTGAGAAATAAATATTGTTAAAACTAGCCTTTCCATTTTCAAATTTTAGAATGAACTAGATATAAGTTTCTTCAAGAAAAACACTTCAAGCAAGTTGTAACGACTCGACAAGTCACTATATTTACTATAATTTAGTTACTACGCAGTGGGAGAATTAAAAACAATAATCAAATAATTTAAGGTTATCATGTAATAGATGTATGTATAGTGTTAAAAATTATTAAAAATGATTTCCTAGGCATCAGTTGGAAAACAAAACTTCTTTCAATGGGATCACATATACACTTTGTAGACACACACACACACACACATATATATATATATAATCTACACAAAATATACTCGAATCGTCGATCAAACATCTATATATGACCAAGCTACATTAGAGTAGCATCAACAAAATGAGTCATCATCAACATGACTTCCCACCAGCCAAGCGTGCTAATCCTATCCTATTATTATATCAAGTATGATCAGTGTAGTTTCAAACACAAGGAAAAGAAAGGGAAAACTTGTTAAAAGAATCAACATAACATCAACGAAGTAAATTGATCACATAAGAAACTTAAATAACAACATACAACTATCTCATAGTCATAACTTCAGTTATCACCAACTACCACACATATAGCTTTCAACACAACATATAGCAACTTTAGCATATCAAATTCTCAACATTAACATCAAAGATCAATTAATGCATCATCACACATATTAACTACGGAGATCTCCTATAATAAAGATGAGCATTCTAAGTAGCTAAGCCCTTCTAAACCATAATATAGACCGCGTTAGGCCTCATAGAGTACCAAGTATACTACTTACATTAACTTTTTAGGTTTCACTACTTAAATTAGGAAGTCTAGTATTCTTGTAAGGGTATAACAACTTTGATATAAGTCTACCACAACATTAGCTTACAATACTAAGCCTATTATGGAATTAGTCCATCAACTATCCTTTAAATAATATGCCCTTCAATTACTTAGTTAGGGAATTAAGCCCCTAACCTTGTGCCTTACTTAGTTTGTCACTTTATGGTATGCCTCAACCTTGCATACATATGGATTCCACATAAAACTTACAAGAGACAACTTAAAACAACTACCCATAAAGAAGTTAGCTTACTTATTAAAGGGTTCTCAACTTGGACTCTTAGAACATCATAACTTATATCCACATAATGAGATATTTTAATTTCTAAAACAGAAAATGAGAAGTTAGAGAGTTTAGATGAGAGCCCAAGAGAGTAAAGAAAAGAATGAAGGGATAAATGAAAGAGAATGGAGCCAAAGATCAAAGAGAATGGAGGGGAAAGGAGAAATACTAAGTTCAGACATTTTTAACATCGGCTATTCATGAATCGATTTTGTATGTAGTTTTTAAAATCGGCTATTGAAGAGCCGATTTTAAAAATTACATACAAAATCGGTTCTTAGATAGCCGATGTTAAAAGTAGAACTTTTAAAATCGGTTTATTTCATTCAATAACTTATAGTCTACATTAAATTTTAACAATCTAATTGTTGAATTTAAAGTTCTTAATGTATAGATCAAATATGCAAAATTTTAAAATAAATGAAAATTATTTGATATTTTGTTTCATTAATTCAAATCAACGTATGAAATGATTTTATAATTACTCATCAATTTGAATTAATGAAACAAAATATCAAATGATTTTTAAAATTTTTAAAAATTTACAAATTTGATCTATACATTAAGAACTTTAAATTCAATTATTAAATCGTTGAAATTTAATATAAAATATAAAATATTAAATATAGTAAGTCTAATTAGACTTACTTTATGAAATAAATGAATCACTTCTCATTACATATAAAACATAAAATAATTAAAAAAAAATGAGACACAAATATTCTGAGTTTTGTAATGGGTGTTATTTTATTTTAGGCCTAATTTTAAGGATGCTATAATTGATGCCGCCGCTGATGACCTATTCAATAAAGTTCATGGAATGTCAACATTCCAATACGCTGATAAATATCCAGCACAGAACCACATTTTCAACAAGGCAGTGAACGGTATAAGCACCATGGACATGAAAGCCATTTTACAAGAGTATACAGGATTTGAAGGAATATCAACACTGGTTAATGTAGGTGGAGGAATCGGAGAAATGCTACATATGATAATCTCTAAGTACCCTTCAATAAAGGGCATTAATTTTGATTTGCCCCACGTTGTTGAAAAGGCACCAACATATCCAGGTACTACTAATTAATCTTGTATTGAATTAAAGATGCAATTCATTGCCCTATTTGTACTTTACAAATAAATAGGAATTTTCTAATCAGTATCGTTAGAGTACCGGTTATATGAATTAATATATAAAAAGTTAGTACACTATAGTTACGTTTTTCAATAGAAATTGTCTTTAAACCAGTATCCAAAAGATAATGGTCCACATTTTCCATATAAATATTGATTGACAAACTGTGCTAATTTGCATGAAGGCATAGAACATGTTGGAGGAGACATGTACGTAAGTGTACCCCAGGGTGATGCCATAATTCTAAAGGTTAGAAAGCACTTTATGACCCTTAAAATTTCTAGAACTATATATTGATCGAAAAGTGACCCCTAATTCATGCTATATATTCATCTTTGGCTAAATTATGTAGGCTGTGCTGCACAATTGGTCGGATGAAGACTGCTTAAGGCTCTTGAGAAATTGTCACAAGGCACTGCCACAAAATGGAAAGGTGATTGTTGTGGACCTAATAGTGCCAGAAGCATCAGATTCTGATGAATCAAAGATTGTTTCTATCATCGACAATCTCATGTTTGTCATTGGTGGTAAGGAGAGAACAACTAATGAATTTGAGGCTTTATCCAAGCTTTCGGGATTTCCAGGATTTGAAGTTGTTTCTAGAGCATTTGGTGCCTTGGGAGTCATGGAATTTCACAAATAAGGGCAATTTAAAATTATCTTTTATTTCGTATCACTTAAATTCAAACAAAACATAGGTCCTTTAGAAGAAGTATGTTCCACTCTTAGCAATGTTTGGTTGTACAATGCTAATGCCTAGGATATATATGGGCATAAATAACTAGGCTTCAAGTATGAGCCGAATTTTAATTATTTTTCTTCTTGATATGTAGGTCGAAAGATATTACTACATCCCTCTATAGCTATTATCGTCCAATGTAATGATGGTTAAAATTAAATAAAAGTTGCTTATTTATGAAATTCCTTTGCTCTACTTTTGCTGCATTTTTTTATGGTGGCTGACACAACTTCATTTGCCATCGAGAAAAGGAGTGAAGGGATTAGCTTTGGAAGAACGTGATATAGTATACTATTTAGGTTGAAGAGTGTGATGATGATGATGCATGCCTAGCAAGGACAAAAGGAGGTAAAAACGTGGTTGCAGTAATGTCTAATTGCATTACGATTAGGATGTATGTCATGTTGGAAAAAATTGTGTATGTCGAAGATTCAATTATATGCAATCAATTCTGATACCGATAATAAAGTATTATGTTAATTATTTTATCATATTTTATTAAATTATATAATTTTTTTAACACTACAATAAAATGAACTTTTAGTGGCATTTAATATGACTTTTAGTGGTGTTAGTACCAGAAAATGAATTCGGAGACACTCGAAACACAAGGGTGCTCAAAAATCCTAGAAGATCGAGAAATGGCGGAGAAGTTTCTAAAGAAGGCATACGAAGCTTGAAGAGAGTCAAGAGATACGCGAAGACATTTTTTGTGAAACTCTCGAAATCCTTGAGTCAGGAAGGATGCTGCCCAGGAAAAGGGGCTCACGGCCTCACAACCTCTCAAAGTACAAGCAGAATCAGGAAACATTCAAGTATATTTTTCGTTGGTTACTCGAAATCCCAAGAATCCGGACATATACGAATACACTTCATAGCCTCTCAGAATGGAGAACTTAAAGGAGACACGATTTAGGAGCGGTTGAAGTAACATGGGATAAGTGTCAAAGGCTGTAGAACGGTTTGGGGAAGTTAACAAGCAGTTCCAAGAATTATCCAGAGACGGGCCCGAGAGTAAGCCACTATGTAGAAGTTTAGAATAGTTATGCACTTCCGGGGTGCGTCAGAAACAATTATTTTTCCCAAATCTGTCTATAAATTAAACGAGCCAGGCTCGTAGCAAAGGGTCAGAAATCTAATTCCCACAATACCTCACACGCACTCCGCAGCTTGCACATAAGGCATACTGTGCATACGAGACAGCTTTGGGTACGATTTCTCGACCACTTTTCTTTTCCTTTTTAGGAGTAGTGTAGCATAGCGTAATCTAGCCTATGGTAGTGTAGTCATTCTGAACATGTTTCGTTATCCTTACGAATTGTAATTTTGTTACCATTTAATGAAGGATATGATTTCTACAGTCAACATACATGTCATCTGTTCGATTCACGTAAATTATTACATGCATGAATTTGATTGTACAATTAGCATAGATCTTCTGATGTGCTGAAACAAGCATAGATCTTCTGACGTGCTAAAAAATAGCATAGATCTTCTGACGTGCTCGAAACATGAGCATAAATCTTCTGATGTGTTAAAACCAGCATAGATCTTCTGAAGTGCTCGAAATAACGAGCATAGATCTTCTGACGTGCTGAGACAACACCCTAATTTAACTCTATTTGTTGCTTGTACGAATTTATTCTTTCACCGAAAGTCTTCGATTCTGTCATGTCACGAACACGCATAAATTGGAACGTGAACTCGTGCTAGTTCGAACAAAAAGAACCTACGAACGAAATTCTCCACAAACAAATTGGCACGCCTGGTGGGACTCGTTTGGTGAGCTTAATCGAACTAATTGAACTAGTTTTGTGTGTGTTTAATTTTTATGAGACTTATAAGTGGGAGAACTATGTCTACATCCAGCTGAAGAGATGCGCTTAATGAAGAACAGGGTATAGTCTCCTGGCCATAGCTCTAATGGTTGGGCCTTTAGCCCATGCTCTTCCATCAATGTCGCCCCTTGAATGGTCAATACTATTGAGATAGGGTTTTTTTGTCTCACCCACACTCAACATCAAACTACCCGCACCCGACATGGATGAGGTAAAGAGTCTCTCACGCTCTCATGTTTGGCGTGATAAAATCCATGCCCAACCCCAATCAAGCAGAGGACTTATGCCTGACTTACGTTTGACGTCACTTCATTGGCGCCTGACATCAATTCAGACTGAGACGATTCTCTTTCCTCATGCTTGACGTCACCAATCCTACGCTTAGTGTGAGTGAGACAAAGCGTCCTTGACTTGAGCCACACTCGGTGTCATGAAGGCGTGCCTAACATGATGACAAGTACTACACTTGGAAAAAGCTCAATTCGCCCAAATCCACTTAAAACTAAAAAATTTACCAACATGCGACATAAAATTCTACATCTAGGCATTGTAGACAACTCAAAAATAAGGTCACAATAACATGTAACCATTACACTTCAACATCACCAGGTTCTACTCTCAAACAACTTTAAGAACTACAACTTCATCACTTATCATCTCATGGATTCAAGCAATATCAACTACAAATTAAGTGATTTTAGGCAGCAACAACCATCATGCATCAACAATAATTCAAAATACAAAGCTTCCTTTACCTCTAGTTGATCAATTGAGAAGAGAAGAGAAGGAAGAAAATTGCACGACCTCGACTTGGTATTATTGGCTTTGCAAGCTTCGAATCACTAATAATCACCTTCAATCAACTATAGGGAATGGAGAAGTAAAGATTTTCAGTATAAAGGTGGGAGAAAGAGAAGGGAAGATTCTCTCTAACTTTTCTCTAGACTTTCTTAAAACATGAACTTATAAAATTTGCGTCTTAAGAAAAATCTTATGTATCATTTCTTAGATTAAATCAACTTAACTCCGACTCAACTAATTCAAAGACAACTTAACTTTCAGACATCTTGACCTACAAAGTCATAAACAACAACATTAACAAAAACGTATAACTAATCATATAATTAAATTAAAACACCCCAAAATACATAGTATTATGTGGATTTTTTTCTCTATTTTTATGTTAATGGTTTTTTTTATTAACTTTTACTTTATTTTTTGAACTTTTTCTCATGATCCGGCCTGCATCATGCCTAAATATGGAAATCTATCGCTCTCTTTCTAATTGATTATCGATGTCAGAAGGTAATGGCCTAAAAAGTACAGAAAAATGTTGGATATACGTGTACTGAATAATATATATGATGGGATGAAGAAAGAGAGATAAGGAGAAAAATAAAATAAAACATAAAGGGAAATAAAGAGAAAAGGGCAAATATAATCGAAAGGAGTCTAAAAATGGGAAATAGGGTGCATCGGTTATAAACCCACTTTTTATGGTCCTATTATATGATGCTACAAGGGACCCTTTGCCAGATAAAACCCTAGCTAACATGCAATTTATGTCATGTAAACAACATACATGTCACATGGGTAGCCCCTCACTCCTTCCACTTGCACTCTTCTTCTTCTCTTATACTCCAAAACCAATTGAATTGAGTTAAGATCAACTCAACACAACCACCATCCAAGTTTTTTTTTAATTTTTTTATTTGCAAGTGGGAAATGATTAACCTATCCTCATTATTTCACACACTATTGTTAGTTAAATAAGGAAAACAAAAAGAAGAATTTTGGATGTACAACAAAGACACCCAACATTAACATTCTTTACGCACGTATCTCATCTTTCTTTTTATTAATTTGTCTATCTATTAAAGTTTAAAGGCGTGCCTTTGTTTGTTTTTACGCTCAATAGTCCACAATACCAAATTATTAGTATATCTAATGCCTTTTCATTTTTGCCTCAAATCATCAAATTGTAACATAATTTAAATAAAAAAAATCAAGTTTTGTCATGTAATAGCAAAAGCTAAACGTGTCTAAGATGAATCACACTTTTTTCATTTTTAGTAAATCTGGATTTTTCCAGATCGAGAAATTAATCACTAATATACTAAGATTCATCTAAGGATTAATTTTTTTTAACAAATATATATATTTTTTATATTAGGTTAAACTACATGCTTAAATGATAAAATTCTCAACCAACCATGTCACACTTGGTTGATAAAAAGAAATTACATACTAAATTTCTGTCCTATCCATAATTTATAATTCTTTGTTAGCGTGTAACATATGTATGAAATATATATGAACAATATATACAATTGTAAACAGAAGTTGCTGAATGTTAAAGAGGGTCGTTTTTGTTTTTGTTTTTTTTTAAAGAATTATAGTCAATGGCAGGATATGTTGATATAATAAAGAATATACCACTTTTACCCAAAGTGTTTTCTTAATCGTTCCTCCTTTAATTTAAGCATATATGATATAACTAATATTTCTTGTTTAGTGTGTGTATTTTGTGAGTCGCAATTCGTCGTTAAGACCTTTCTCATCGTCCAATAATGCTTCACATGACCACACGCCTTTACACGTGGAATTGACACGTGTGTGGGTGACAAAGGAATGGAAAGTTTTCTCGATTTGTACGTGAAGGAGGTGGATTATTATAAGTGCTTAGTGCACGCCAAGAATCTTTATTTTTTAATGTTTGGGATAGTGGAATTGCTTGGTTTTGAAGTTTGTATTTATTATTATTATTATATAGTTTTGAGAATTATACATATTCTAAATAATGGTACATACACGTTCATTAGTTATACAATAATTTATTCATTATTTTTATGATTATATCTTTTTATTATTAATAAATAATGTGATAAAAGTAAATAATAAAAAAATTTGTGTTCTACAAAATTGTTTTCCTTTTATTTATATATGTTATATGTACATCTATATAAATGTTTATTATTGTCATATCGCCTCTTAAAGTGACTCATGCACGTGGCCATGTTATAGTTTTCTTAAAATAATTAATTTGGTGCGTCTTTTAAGTAAATTAATTAACATCTTCTAAAAAATGCCTGTTTGATCCGACATATACTTTACCTTTTCTTGCATTATTGTAATGTTATTGGTCATCTTTTCTATAAACAAAATTTAATGGGTCTATCCTTATTCTAGGATGAGTTTAATGTTATTAAATAGATAACAATGATGATAAAAGTACAATTTTAAATCAATTCGTAGAGAAAAACATTTATGCGAAAAAATAGTAATTATTTGTTTCCTTTATATGAACCATTTTGAATACTTTAATTTAAACAGAATTTTATCTTTTTTTGTCTTATATATATTTAACTTTCTTATTAACCATATATAATGACATTAAAATTGTGATTGTATGCTACTATGTTTATATCATTATATTTTAGTTTTAGAAACTAAAATCCATGTCAATTGTATACTATGACTTATTTGTTCATTCAAAAAGTACATATAAATTCACCTTTCCCTCTATAACTTTTGTTCTTGAGAAGAAGACAAATTATCAGCATACAACAGCAAATCAATAAACTTCATATAGCTACTAATACAAAGGGGCTTTCAAGTCCTCATTAATATTAAAAAAAAATGTCTCAAATATTTTTAAATTTAAAAAATTAAAAATAAATTTATCTTAAATTAAATTTAAATAACTAAAAATATATTTAAACTATATATATATAACTAATACAAAGAAATGTTAATTATTTGGACAATATTCGAGTTTGATGACAATTATTTATTTATTTTGACTGAATCTGATGAAAAAATCTTAAAATATAGTGTAAAATAAAAAACAAAACAAAGCAATGCCAATTGTATTGCTTTGGACACTGGTGCCCAATATCAACGGTAAAACATTTTGGCTTTGGTGTCCAAATTTTAACGTGAGTTGTTCCTTCTTGTATTTAACTTGATTTGACTATCCATGAAAAAAAAACCTGTTTTTATTTGTTAAAAAAGACCCATTTATATCAGTGGTAGGCACCACTAGAAAAATTGCTAATTGCTGGTGGTAGTTATTTACAAAAGTACAACTAGTACAATCAAATATTTTCAAGTTTCAACAAAGGGTTGAAATTTGGATACCCATGTCATTATGAAATATCTTTTTTAATAGTTTTTTTTTATATATAATGAAAATGGGAAAGAGCTCAGACATACTGTATGCATCACTACACTCGATGATTATGTGGAAAATCATCATATTTAGAAATCATTTGGCTTTTAGTATTTTTTTTCTTCTCACTTTTACATTAATATTTTTTTTAGACAAATCAAGTGCAGGAGCAATACTGTAGCAAAAGAAAGGAACAACCTAATTAGTACGTGATTGATCATCTCAACACATTGTCGATGAAGAGCTCATCCCTACATGGCATGATTTGGAAAGTAATAATCATATCTAGAAATCAATTTCTACTTTTTATTTATTTATTTATTTTTTAAAATGTTGTTCAATTTGCTTTAAAACAAGTTGTATCTTTCTATAATAGACATATGGAAGAAGATAGCACTAAACATTTAGGTGAGACTTGGTTTAAGAATTAGCTTGGGACTTTCGAGTTACCTACCTCTCCACTCACATGTATTTTGTAAATTTTTTAGCATTTACTTTTTATTCCTATACCGCATCACATTTGAATTATGTAGAATTTTTTTTATAACAAAGTTCTTCATTTTTGTAGTAATAACTTGTATGAAATTATTAGTTAAGTTAAAAAAATCTAATGTCAGTTGATTTTTTTTATAACATATTATTTTAACTAATAGAAGAAAGGAGACTTAATTAATTGTACTAATTAATCTATGCGTTTGATAATGATATATTTTATTACATATAATTCATAAGTCCAATTATATATATAGAGAAATGATTTACTTACTTTAAGAGTAAATTTATCTAAACTTATTTTACTAAATAATTCATATTTTACATTAATTTTTAATTATTTAACTATTAAATTAAAAGTTTTTAATGCATAAATTAAATTAATAAAATTTTAAAAAATTTAAGAACTATTTCATCATAAAAATTCAAATTAACTATAAAATATTTTTATGATTATTCGTCAATTTAAATTAATGAAATAAAATATTAAATAATTTTTAAATTTCTTAAAAATTTAAAATTTTAATTCATATATTAAGAACTTTTAATTTAATAGTTGAATCGTTAAAATTTAATATAGAACTTGAGTTATTAAACAGAGTAGATCTAGGTATACTCACTTTTAGTGAGTGGATCTCTCATCTCTTTCTATATATTTTTGTTTGTGTTATAAGTGTGTGAATTTTAAATTTAAATGATCTTATTTTTAGAATAAATAGATATATATTTGATATATTATAATAAATATGTTCAATTGATTTAAAGTGTATTAAAATATTAATTTAAATTTAATGAAATAATGAATTGATTAAATGAGTTGAGATAATTTCTCACAAAAACAATTTGATATAATTTAATTGATGTTTCCATTCTTGGATTTAGTTTCTCATTGATTTTTTTCCCTTCCAAAACTAAAGTTGAATTCCAGTTTAAGAATTTGACTCAATCAAACTTAAATAAAAAATAATTATAGTTCTTCTTATTCGCCACCCAAACACATTTTAACATAGTGTTTTTTTATGAATGCAATAACTTATATTTGATTTTAAAATTCTATTAAAATCTATGGAGTACGCTAGCTTTAATTTTTTAGAAATTTTGTATGAAATAAATTAAATTTTCAATCTTTATAACCCAACAATATATAATAAATCAAATAAAAAAGACATAAGAAAAATATAATTTAAATATGTTTTTGTTTTGTTTAGATTATGTATTCTCTATAATTTCTTAAGAGTTTAATGGATTAGAAAATACGTGTAATAAGATAATTGTTAAAATCGATAAATTTATTATATATCGTAATTTAAAAATGATAGTATTATAATATTTTATATTGTTAATGTATATTTTTTTTCCATTTTTAAAACTAAAATATTAAATTTTTAACAAAACTATGTTAATGTATAAACACGTTATTTTTTTTAATTATTATTATTAGTAAAGTGGAGATACTCCACTAATAATAATACTCAAGAAATTTCATATTTTTATATTTTATTTAAAATTTTTAAAGTAAAATAAAAATTATAATTAAATAATAAAAATGATTAAAAATTTGAGTAATCAGAAATAATCAATTTATTTGAGTGGTTACAACTTGTAGAAATAATTAATTTTAAATAATATTATTTTTTATTAATTTTAAAAAATAAAAATAAAAATATTAAAAAAATGTGAAAACATAAAAATGATTGTAAACCAACCTATCCCAAATGAAAAACATAAAGTAGGAAATTGAGAACGGACAGGATGGATATAAATCTCATCAAACAGTAAAAAGAAGAGGGCAACAAGAAATTGAAGTTTGGAAGATAGCACAATCTAATCTACTTTTTTGACTTAACCATCATTTACAAAGCGTGTTTAGCAACAGTATATAATAAATCATCATCAAATTTAAACATTATCATAACAGTAAAGGATAACTTTTCTTTTCTTTGCTTTTCCGATAATTAATAAAAAATAAAAAAAAGAAACTCATTTATACGTACTGAGTAAAAAAACTTTTTAGTTTTTACCATCGTCTAATTACATATTATTATATAATAAGTTTATAAATAAAATTATTTTACACTCGAGATATGAAAAAATTAAACTATAATTATACATAATTCATCAAAATTGACCAGTCAAGGCTCACAAATGAGGAGAGAGAGATTCTACTGTTACCATTACGCGACAACCAATCAAAACTCACCATGTCAAACACGTTGCGTCGCATGCGATCCATTCCCTTTTCCAAGAGAAATTGACCGACCAATAATTTGGAATCCAAAATCAAACGGCTCAGAGATGTACCCAACAAGTGGCTCCACCGGCGCTATTGGTTACCGGTCACTTAACGACGAACATTTTTGTGGCCCCCACCACCACCTTCCGCCGTCGCGTCCATGTCCACCGTCTACTGCCATTGCCGCTGTAAAAATGGTAAATAGTCTTTTTTTTCAAAAATAAATTATAAATGTATAATTAGTCTATATAAGTCATAATTAAGTCTATAGAAATTTTATTTTAATTTTGACGTTGTTGATTAAAGAATGTGAATTCCTGAACTTTTCAAGAGTTAAGAAAATAATACACACTAATCCCCTAAATTATCCTTAGAAGTTTGAAGTCAATATTAATAAGCATAGGTCCATTATTCTTTCTATTAACATTTATGAAGTTAAATTTTGAATTAAAACTCAAAAAAATCTTTGATCTCCTCTTACCCACATAAAAATAAAATTAACTTTGCCTCCTATGGTCTGAAGCGTGACCATTATATGTCAAATTTTAAACCATCTTTGGGCCCCAAAATTTATTAAATTTAGTCGATAAAGTACATGTAGTTGTTGGTGGGGTTTAAGACTTGTTCACCACCATTTTCTTCTTCCATATTTTTTCTTCACCATACCCCCCCACCCCTCTCTCTCTCTCTCTCTCTCTAGTTTTGTTTCTTCTTCTTTTCTCACAAGTTCTAAGTGCTAATTTCATAAACTAAGTTACTTCCAAGCAAGCAAACAAGCATAGATCCCTTCATCTTGTGGCTTAGGAGACAAAGGCTTCTTCCATTCTCCCTCCTTTAAGCTCTCATCTTAGCATCACTTTTGGTACGGAAAGCTTGTCCTTTTTCTTTCATTTTTAATGCCTTAAATGTCGAATGAAAATCTGTTCTAGTGATAGTTTTTGATGATTTGTTTGAAATATGTAAAGTGGTAATTCTTATGATTTGTTAATTGATGATTTCTTATAAGCATGTCTCGGTATTTTTGATATTACTCTGTGGTTAATGGAATTGAATGAGGTTCATTGGATTGGAAAATATACATTTGGGCAACCCTTTTGCCACAAAAATCATGCAAAAATGTTGATGGCCAGTAAAGTGGATTCTAAAATGGGGGAGTCTCATGTCTTATAGCTGTAAGGCTTGTTTTTAGACACAACAAAGTGTTTTTAGTTTCAATTTTTGTGTCATGTCCTAGAGAATATATTATTTATTGGTAGTTATTAATTTTGAGATACTGTGTAATCTATATTCAATTATTTTTAAATAAAATAAAAATGGATGAGGCTTGTGAAAAACTAGTTACATAGCTTGCAAACTAGTGAACTCAACTCTTTCCATTCATGGGTCACACTTTTTATAACTAAACCATTTGATTCAGTAAAAGTTGTTTCAAAACTGTTACCTGCGGGGATCCTAGTCTATGGTTTGGCTCCAACATGCTTTAGTAATTTACTCGTTTCTCTATCTACAAATTGAATCTGAAAATGAAATATACCTTTTTGAAAACTAGACTCTCTAGGGTATTAAAGGAACACCGTGTTTGTTTTATTTGGTTTTGGTTTTGAAGGATAAATCTGCTTGAGAAGTTGAGTATGCTACAATATAGTCCGAATCTGAACTATGTCTCCTTCAATAGTATTCATTTTTTCTTTTTGTGTATATTTTTGGTTGAACAAGGTTTAATATTTTAGAAACTAGACTTTCGGACCTTTGATATGAGGTAAATTTTGTTTTAAAAGAAATCGTTTGACTTATCAAATCTAATTGTGAATCTGACCTTGAATCAGAGAGATTGTCAATGTTTGAAACCATGTTTTTTCCTGAATGATTTTATAGGGAAGTTGGTACTTTTAATGCAAAATTCTCTTCTAGACAAGTTCTTAACTGTTTCGAACTAATATTAAGAGTTAAAATTTGCAAATTTTAATTTTGTTGAGCCATTTTGCACTTGATAGTTCTCTAGAGAAACAAAGGGTGTTTTTAGCAATATCACATCTTTTTACCATTAATAAATATTTTAGAGAGTAATTTTGTCGCGTCGTGTTTATATAATTACAATGGATATATCTAATAATTTTTTAAGTTCGACTACGATGAAACGGATAAAATTAATCAATTTAAATTTATTAAAAATTTATTCAAAAATTGAATTTATTTGATATATTCATAAAATGTATACACTTGTGGTAAAATCACTACAGATAATTTTGTTTTATACATTTAAATCAACCAAAATTTAAATGATCAATGCAACTTTATGTGAATATTTTACAAGTCATACACAAATGCATAAATATCTTAAATTTAACAATATTTTGTTATTATATTGCTTACAATATTTATATCTGTTGTAAATTCAACCTGTTCCTTTTGTGGTGAAGTAAAATTTCATATTCATTTAATAAGAAGAAATTAAAAGATTAGTTATTAAAAAATATATATTAGTTTTCCTTTTCTTTATCTAAATCAAAAACGATTTTTTTTAATCTTTTATTCACTTGTAAGTTTTCAAATCTTATAAATTCTTATTTTATAAATTCATTAAAAAAGTTAAATCTTTTGTAATTCATAAATTTTTTTCAAATCTTATAAATTTTTATGATATAAACTTATAGAAAATTAAATTACATAATATTAAATATAAAAGTCTTTTAAATAAACTTTTAGAAGTTATTATATTTTTTATATAATCTTTTAAAATTGTTAAGACTTTTTTAATGCAAAAATAGTTTTTTAAAATCTGAATCTAATTTGCTTCTTCTTCTATTATAATCTAATGAATTTTGAAGAATAAAAATAGATGAATCACTAATTATCTATAAAATTAAATAAATAGATTGAACTTAATTAATAATTATATATATTTTTTATAATGAATGGATTAGATAAATTTACTCATGGATGAATTAAATCAAGATAGATAAATGGATTATCATGTCATTCTTAGTAGACTAGTATTTTAGCATTTGTATTTCATATGTTAAATTTTTATTATATATAACTAAATTTTAAAAATTATACAAACAAATAAATTATATTTAAAATTTGTATAAATAGGTATTTTTGAAATTGAAATTTTGATTCAAGGTAAATAATTTATATTATGACACCAAATTATTTTTAATTATTGATAATTTATTTTAAAATAATAAAATTTTAATTTATAAATAAATATGATAAATAAGAAAATTGAATTGGTTAAGTTAAAAAAATCTCTAAAAATGCTCTCAATAGTTCTTAATAACGCTCTCTCACAAGATAATCATTTATGTTTAATTATAAAGGTTCATATTAATATGTTACATTGAAGTTAGTTTTGCAGAAGAAAAAAAATCTATATTTTTATTAATTTTGACAAATAATTGAATTATAGTAATTATTTTGATGAGAAAATCTTGGAAGATAAGAAGAGGTAAAATGGTCTCTTTACTTCAAGAGAAGTACTTATTAAGCTGATGATAGAGTATTTCAAATCGAGCCTCGCACACTTTTGAGTTGAATAGCTACTTTGCTTTTGATGTTTTAAATTACGAGAGGTTAACTTTTTTTTTTTTTTTACGAATAATTGAAAAGTGCAAGTAGATTTGATTTCTTAAAATTTGCTAATATATGTCATTCCACATAGGTAGTGAAAAACGTTGAATGGGGAAGAGAAGTCTTGTTAGACTTGGTAGTGATGGAGGCTTCATAGCGTGTTGTGCCATAGTGTGAATTTGTTGAAATTGTTCACTAAGGATTGATGGTGTTTCCAATTGAAGTCTGTGTTGTTTCTTGTGTTTTGCATCTTTGGGGAAGGGTCTCTGTGAACAAGAGGCATTTTTGTTTTTTCTTATAAAAGGTTTTATCTTAGCATACCATGAGAAAAACAAAAAATAAAAAACTGATTGTGGGTTTATCTAGGGTGATTAGTTGAATGGACAACGATTTGAGATCGTGTCTTTTGTTTTGTTGGCAATTTTGGGTGTTGAATTTTTTATGGCAACGATGGATATTTAAATACGTGCAAGAAATGAAAAGGGACAAAATTCGGGAACTTGTGAATTGAATTTCATGAATTGTGTTTGAACAGGCTCTTGATTTTGCCATCGTGGACTGAGTTTGTGCATTCCTCGTTCTATATGGAAGAGACATGTTGGACGGTCATTCCCATGCAATTCTGAGATCGTTTTCCAACATTTTCCAGACAGAACAATTAGTCTTACATGAAGTGTCTGCTAGAGTTGGACATCAAGAATGGCAAGCGCCCTATGGAGATTGATGATGTTGAGGATGAGCCCCAACAACTAAGGAAGAGTACTAAGAAGTTGAATTCTTGCCACAGAGTTGAAATGACTCGAATTTTGTTTCAAGAGCAATCTATTGAGGCCAAGAATTCTATTGAAGATGGAGATTTGACTAACTGGCTATCGAACAAGCAAGAACAAAAGAGTGATGCTGGTGACCATCAATCTGATAAACAACATCAGGGTCAGCTAAAAGATTCTTTACACTTTGATGTTCGATTATCTGATGAAGAACATTTGCAACATGACGAGAAGAGTGAATATGGTTCTTCAGATTCTGATTCTCTCTTGCCACGCATGAACCGTGACAGCTCAATTGCGTGTCTTAGCCGTTGTTCAAGGTCAGATTACGGTTCTCTCGCATCACTAAACAAGAGCTTTAGGAACGTAATCAGAAGTGGTGAACTCTACACATGGAGGAGACTGAATGGTATCATGGAGCATTGGATTTATTTTTCCAGTGCTCTCTTGGAATGGGAAGCCTATGATCCAATTCGTGGACGATGGATGCATTTACCAAGGATGGCTTCTAATGAATGTTTCATGTGTTCAGATAAGGAATCTTTGGCAGTAGGTACTGATCTTCTTGTGTTTGGGAGGGAGTTAAAATCTCATGTCATTTACAGATATAGTCTCTTGACAAACTCATGGTCATCTGGAATGAAAATGAATGCTCCAAGGTGCTTGTTTGGCTCTGCTAGCCTTGGGGAGATTGCAATTCTGGCTGGAGGGTGTGATTCAGAGGGACACATACTAGACTCTGTTGAACTCTACAATTCCGAGACACAAACATGGGAAACACTCCCAAGTATGAAAAAACCAAGGAAGATGTGTTCTGGGGTATTCATGGATGGAAAGTTTTATGTCATAGGGGGGATTGGGGGAAGTGGTTGTTCTAAGCTCTTAACATGTGGAGAGGAGTATGATTTACAAACTAGGACATGGAGAGAGATTCCTAACATGTCCCCTGAAAGAAGTAATAGAGGGCAGGAGATGCATGCAACAGTTGAGCCACCACTTTTGCTTACTGTGTTAAATGATGAATTGTATGTTGCTGATTACACTGACATGGAGGTTAAGAAGTATGATAAGAGCAAAAAATTGTGGTTTAGCATTGGGAGATTGCCTGAGAGAGCAGTGTCTATGAATGGTTGGGGTCTTGCATTTAGGGCATGTGGGAATAGGCTTATTGTGATTGGTGGAACAAGGAGTCATGGTGAAGGTTTTATTGAACTCAATTCATGGGTGCCTAGTGAAGGGCCTCCACGGTGGGATCTACTTGCTAGAAAACGCTCTGGAAACTTTGTTTATAATTGTGCTGTGATGGGATGTTGAAGAATTGAATTGTTAAGGCTACACATTTTAATGATTCAAGTCCATGGAGTTGTACAACATTGATTCCTCCGTTGACATGAGATTCTTGCTAATTGGTACTATGGCCCCTTGTTTCTTTCTATGATATTTTTCTTCAAAGGTTAGGGATGATGGGGGACAAGATTCAGATGTTACTCAAGATTAGTTGAAAGGTTTTCTGGGGAGGAGATCTTCAGACTTTTTTTTTTTTTTTTTATGTTTAAAATTTCAATCACTACTTTGTAACATTCGAATTGGCATTTTCCCCATTTCTGTTGACTGGAGATTTTTTTGGTAAAAGTTAAATTATTCATCTGTGTTTCTAAGATGCTTAAAAAAGGCTATAAACACTATTATATAAACAATATACTATTGTTTCACTTTTTGCATCTTTGTTTTTGTACTTCTACTTTTCTTATCTGCACCTTCACTTCATACTGCTTAGTGTTGCAATCTGTGGGAAAAAAAAAAATTAAAAAACATGGAACGGCTACTAACATTTTACTTGAGAAAATTATTGGAAGAATCCTTTAAAAAATTTGGTCTATAAAATCAAATTTTAATCCGAAAGCCAATTTTGTATAAGAAAGATATTAGTACCAATAACTTTCGCCATAAAGATAATTAGTTGTCTCTAATTAAATAAACAATTTGCTCTTAATTTTTTAAAATATCTAACTTACCTTAAAATAATTGAAAATAGTTGTATGACAAATGATAGAAGTGGTATATCTTCTTACATACCTCCAAGTGTAATGACAAATCGAGATTATAAGATCTTTTTATAATAAGAAATATGTGTTAGTATTTTTTAATTTAATTTAGAATTTCTGCACTACTAATATTTCCTAAAATATAAAGTTAATATAGGTATATCTAAATCCATCAGAATAATTTCCACAACTTAAATCTTAATTTTTCTTTTGGTGTGCTGATTTGCTATACCCAACTAATCAAAAAGCAGCTAAAATTATATTTGGCACGTAGGATTGTTATTAGTAACTTTCACTGTCATTGGTGATTTCGGTGCATATTTAAAACTGAATTGCAGTAATAAGTTATCCTTTAATCCCTTTTAAGTACTATGGCATCATTAGGATTACTTAAAAAGAAATAGAAGAAAAGAAGAAGAAGAAGAAGAAGAAGAAAGAGAGTAATGGGAGAAGAACTAGGATAGTGTCTTAGTTTGTTAAAGCGTTGCTTAACAGTTAACAATAATGTGGAGAAATGATTTTGTATCATTTTTTAGGGGAAAAGTACTCGAGCATTCAATTTTTTTTCTCTATAATAGACTTAGGTCAAAGTTGATTTAGAAATACAAGATGATTTTTTCATGTCCTTAGCAGCTGAAGTTTTAGCATATATTAATGATTTAGTGTTCGATGTAGATGAGGAACTTCCCTTCGTATGACTTTAGGTGTCACTGCATCATATTCATTAATGGAGATTATACATAAGTCAATACTTTTATTCTCTCTTAAAAATATAAAACTCTTTTTTGGGAGTGCTCTTCATTTTTCTTTCCTTAGAAAATGCCTTCTAGATTTTTTTTTGACTTTATAGTTCATTTTTAATCTCATTTTCCCACATCAAAACAAGATAAATAAGGCTCTGTTTGTTTTGATTCTCAAATTTTCATTTTAAAAGCTTTTTTTTAAAAGTTGGTTTTTAGAAGAAAAAAAAATCATTTGGTAATTTTGTTTTGAGAACTTCTTTAGAAATGAGGAAAAAAAAAACTTTTGTTAAATTTATTTTCAAAACATGTTTTGAAAACTAAAAATAAATTATAAAAAATAAAACTTGTTTGCTGTTACTGTATTAATTTTAATATATTTTTTAACTGTAGAAACAAAACCAATATATCAAAGAAAAATATGTCTTATCCTTATTTCTTGCCATTAGACATGACAATAAACATTTCCCTCCACTCATGCTCAACCCCAAACTTATCTAAGGCTTTTAGATAGATTGCATCTGGAAGGTCTTCAAACATTTTAATAGCAAACACACTTAATAAGAATAATATAATCTCCTCCATGTTTCATACTCATATATATGCCTCTCAACCTTTGCCTTAGATTTGTGATTTCTTAATAGATTCATGAGCTTTCCACTATTTGTGGTGCACTCTATTTCTCACATGTCATCATCTAAACTAATGGTATCAACATTTGTATGACTTCCAGTGTATTGACTTTTTCAAGCTCATCATTTTCTTTATTAATACTTGGTAGATCTTGGGTAGATATATGAATGATGAAGTACTTCCATTGTAATGCTTTGTTGAGTATGACTACCAATAACTTATATGGTCTAATCCTTTTTTTTTTTTAATTGAGCAACTTTATCAAGTCTAAAATAATATAAATAGTCGGTCCACAGAGAATTGTTCATAGTTAAAAATAAACCAATAAGTTAGAAATAAAAAACATTGATCACTAATACAAACCATACCCGAAGATAACTTAACTTTGTCAAACATCTTCCTTTTCAGTGACAGTTGGTTTTGAATTCCACCCATTTGACATGTTTCCTTTTGTGACATCATCAACCATGATATATATATATATATATATATATATATATATATATATGAAAGCTTTCATTGTTAAGTCAGGCAAAGCTTTGAGTCCATATTGTTAACATTAGTTGCCATCAATCACAAAATACTAGCACTCTAGCTACAAGCAATTTCCTTCCCTTAACTTTTGAAACACAAAATATAGTAACAATATAATGAGATCACCAAGCACTATAATATATGACTGGAATTAGGTCTTCTATCATGAGGCTCATTATGCATAGAAAATACAAGAAAGGTTCATAACAATAATACAACAAAGATAATGAAAGTCTAAATCATAGCGATTGTACAAAGTATCTAAGAAAGAAAAAGGAAGCATAATTGAAACAGAGTTGTACAGCAAAATTAGCTTCAAAGCCAAAATTGTAAGCTACATATATCTGCTGGGAGATGATAAATATTCAAGGGTGTTCATGAATCAGTCTTTGAAAAATTTGAATCAAACCGAACCGAACCGTTTTATAAAAGTGGATCGGTTAACCGATCCATTTTTTATAAAGTAGATCGGTTTGATTTTTTTAAAATATAGATCGATTTTTTTTTAAATTAGATCGGTTCGATGCGGTGCAGTTATCCACTTTTTACTCATATATGAATCAATTTTTTTAAAAAACCAAACTGAACCGAATCGATCCACTTTGTAAAAATAGATTGGATAACTGAACCAGTTGTATAATAAAATGGTTTTAGTAAGATTTTTTCCAAAATGGATCAAATTTTTCAATACAGATCAAATCGGTTATGAATCAGTTTGGATCAATTTGGATATTTTGCACATTCCTAAACTTCATAGCTCTTATTTTATATGTAACTGTGTAAAATGTAAAGCAGTATTATATAATTTTATTTTGTTTGAAAATCTAGATTAGTTCAACCAAGCCACACAATAACAACTTAAAAAGTGCTTTTGGAGAATATGTACACGCAGAAGGTAATTGATTTGTTCTTCAATTATGGGTTTTCGTGCGAAGACGTTGAGGAGTTGCTTATTTTTCCTCCATTCCTTGGTTACAAGTTCGATGATAGAGTTAAGCATGGTATGAAATAAAGAAGTGTTATAGATTTATATATAAAATTTAAATTAAGACAAGATATGATTTTATGTAAGATTAAAATTAACTCTTTAAAATCTTTTAATGAGTTTACCTTATTATATCCGACGCATGTCAGCATGAAATAAATGTAATGAATACATGACATGATATAATAAACTGAATGCATGAAATAATTTTCTTTACTTTCGGGTTAGAGACCCTTATAAAACCCGTGAGATGCAGAAGAAAATTTGCTTCATTAGCCCATAATAATTGGTCTCAAGTATGAGTATCAAATCATGTTAGTTGGGCCTCACAACCCATTATATCGAACGGATTGGGATTGCACGTATAACTCATAAAATGTGTAGATGAAAAAATTATTCGTACCCGTACTCATAAAACTCACCACGGCTAATAAATGAGTAATTTAAATGAGTATTTATAGATAATAAATATGGATATTTTTTTTACTTATTTATAAATAGGGTTGATGTAATAATATTTATACTTGTACTCGCTAAATAATATTATTTAAATATTTATATTTTTATATTATATTTTTATATTATTTTTAATATTTTTAAAAATATTAATTATAAGTTTAAAAAATTAATATTAATTGTTTATTTTAATATTTTAATATACTTTATATCAAATATAAACTCAAAATTATCTATAATATTTTTAAAATATTTTTAAAAAATTACAAGTATCTTGAATATCCATGTAAATATTTATAAAATTCACATGTACCACCTTAACAGATATTCGCATAGGTATGGAGCGAGTATGGGATAGAGTTTTAACTAACGAGACGGGTACAAGTTCCTTACTATCCCCTCTCACAAAACCTCATTATCATCCCTAATAAAATGCATATTCAAGACTTGGATTTTAATGATCTTTTTATTCATAAAATAGTAAATAGAGGATGACATTATATGACTACTGAAAAAGGGAACTAATAACATGTTGAGTATCTTCAAACCAAACATCAGTGTCTACATAGTGATTAGCCAAAGTTAAATAGTATTCAATATAATCTTTGATTTTACTTGTTAAACTAATAACCAATTGAAATCCACTAAAAATATTTCTCTTATAACATTAAAAGAATTTTTTTTAATCAATAGATCCATTAAAATAAAATTTTAATAGTTAAAAAAATGTGTAACTCGTGTTATAGATTTTAAAGGTGGATCCAAGGTATCTATCTCTTTTACGTGACTTTTAAAAATAAATAATGGGTGTTATTTTATAAACCACACATCATTTTATTTTTGTTGAGAAACAAAGAAAGAGACACGCCTATTTGATTAATAAAGAAAAAAATGTGAATAAAACAAAGAGAAGATTACTTTTGTCATTTTTTAATTAGATGGACAAGGAACGAGACGAGTAAAATTACATTTCGTTTTAATGTGTCTTCTTCCCTATTTTCATAATTAAAAGCATATCACCATAGTAAAAACAAAATAAATTTAGTATATAGTTAATCAAAGCATAAGCATTAACATACGCAATAAATATTGATGATCATTATATTGAGTGTACACTGATCATCATATTGATTTTTTAACAAAGCATTAGCATAAGCAATAATTCCAAGCGTGTGGTTTAGCGGTAGAGGTTGATCCACGCTTAAGCAAGGTCAGGAGTTCGAATCTTGCCTTGTGTATGCAGCCGCGTTAA